TACAAAGTCGCCAGTTCTCATCTTCCAGCTCCCCAGATACTCCGCGTACTAAAGTTGTACTACAAAGTCGCCAGTTCTCAGCTTCCCGCTCCACAGATTGCTTCGCGTACTAAAGTTGTACTACAGTTCTCAGCTTCCAGCTCCACAGATTGCTCCGCGTACTAAAGTTGTCTACAAAGTCGCCATTTCTCATCTTCCAGCTCCACGGCTTGCTCCGCGTACTAGAGTTGTACTACAAAGTCGCCAGTTCTCAGCTTCCAGCTCCAGATACTCCGCGTACCAAAGACGCACTACAAAGTCGCCAGTTCTCAGCTTCCAGCTCCACAGATTGCTTCGCGTACTAAAGTTGCACTACAAAGTCTCCAGTTCTCATCTTCCACTCCGCAGATACTCCGCGTACTAAAGTTGTACTACAAAGTCGCCAGTTCTCAGCTTCCAGCTCCACGGCTTGCTCCGCGTACTAGAGTTGTACCACAAAGTCGCCAGTTCTCAGCTTCCAGCTCCACAGATACTCCGCGTACTAAAGTTGCACTACAAAGTCGCCAGTTCTCAGCTTCCAGCTCCACAGATTGCTCCGCGTACTAAAGTTGTACTACAAAGTCGCCAGTTCTCATCTTCCAGCTCCACAGATTGCTTCGCGTACTAGAGTTGCACTACAAAGTCGCCAGTTCTCAGCTTCCAGCTCCACAGATGCTGTGCCTGCCACGAAATCTGCACATGGAGGTTCACAAAGTGCTGCGCCTGCCACGAAATCTGCACATGGAGGTTCACAAAGCGCTGTGCCTGGCACGAAATCTGCACATGGAGGTTCACAAAGCGCTGCGCCTGCCACAAAATCTGCACATGGAGGCTCACAAAGCGCTGCGCCTGCCACGAAATCTGCACATGGAGGTGCACAAAGCGCTGCGCCTGCCACGAAATCTGCACCTCGAGGTCCACACAGCGCTGTGCCTGCCACGAAATCTGCACCTCGAGGTTCACACAGCGCTGTGCCTGCCACGAAATCTGCACCTCCAGCTTCACAAAGCGCTGTGCCTGCTACGAAATCTGCACATGGAGGTTGACAAAGTAATGCGCCTGCCACGAAATCTGCACATGGCGGTTCACAAAGTGCTGCGCCTGCCGCGAACTCTGCACATGGAGGTTCACAAAGTGCTGCGCCTGCCACGAATTCTGCACATGGAGGTTCACAAAGTGCTGCGCCTGCCACGTAATCTGCACATGGAGGTTCACAAAGTGCTGTGCCTGCCACGACATCTGCGCGTCAAGAAACAAGTGAAAACTCTAATCACAATGGAGGGACGATTGCGAGAATGATCTGATGATGATCCGAGCATGACCCGAGACTGTCTCGCAACCGTCGTTCCGCGGAGCTTCCCCGTCAAGGTTCGGAGAAGCATGGAGGTTCACAAAGCGCTGCGCCTGCCACGAAATCTGCACATGGCGGTTCACAAAGCGCTGTGCCTGCCACGTAATCTGCACATGGAGGTTCACAAAGTGCTGCGCCTGCCACGACATCTGCACGTCAAGACACTCCGACCATGATCCGAGCATGACCCGAGACCGTCTCGCAACCGTCGTTCCGCGGAGCTTCCCCGTCAAGGTTCGGAGAAGCGTGCAGGTTCACAAAGCGCTGTGCCTGCCACGAAATCTGCACATGGAGGTTCACAAAGTCACGCGCCTGCCACGAAATCTGCATATGGCGGTTCACAAAGTGCTGCGCCTGCCATGAACTCTGCACATGGAGGTTCACAAAGTGCTGTGCCTGCCACGACATCTGCACGTCAAGAAACAAGTGAAAACTCTAATCACAATGGAGGGACGATTCCGAGAATGATCCGACCATGATCCGAGCATGACCCGAGACCGTCTCGCAACCGTCGTTTCGCGGAGCTTTCCCGTCGAGGTTCGGAGAAGCATGGAGGTTCACAAAGTGCTGTGCCTGCCAGGAAATCTGCACATGGAGGTTCACAAAGTGCTGTGCCTGCCACGAAATCTGCACATGGAGGTTCACTGCCACGAACTCTGCACATGGAGGTTCACAAAGTGCTGTGCCTGCCACGAAATCTGCACATGGAGGTTCACAAAGTGCTGTGCCGGCCACGAACTCTGCACATGGAGGTTCACAAAGTGCTGTGCCAGTGGTGTACGATGAGTGGTGTATGATGAGTGGTGTATGATGAGTGGTGCATGATGAGTGGTGTATGATGAGTGGTGTATGATGAGTGGTGTATGAT